TGTTTTCAGCAAAATCAGTTTCAACAGAATGATTTCTTACATTAATTTTCGAAGACAGTAATGAAAAACAACACTTAATAAATATTTTTCTTCAAATCATAGTTGGCCATCATATAATTATTCTTAAACTGTACATTCTGACAGAAATAAAATTGACAGAAATAAAACTTCTCAATTTAGATTATGGAAATTACTCTTAGAAATAGACATTAAATGTTTCTAAAAATAGCTATCAAAACAGCAATCAGTGAAGCAAAACTTCTTGTAAAAATCACCTCATGAATTCTATCTGCTTAGCAATAGAATTCTGGTTTAAACCAAAATGTTTTTTTTTTTTTTTAATAAGGAGTTTGCCTATTATTTAAAAAGCACTAAATTTGTACATTAAGTCTAAGGGTAGGACAAATCAGCTTAACACTTAATAGCCTATGTATTTTTAAGACCTTGTAGAGGTGATAGCATTTGAAAGATAGCTTATTTTAGTATTAAAAAAGTGGTGTGTGTCATAGACAAAATATGTGCTATTATGAAATATATCCTCTTTTAAATAGAGAAATCACCTTAAGTTACATATATTTCTTTAAGATAGAGAAATCTTAGAATGAATTAGATTCCTTCAAGCTTAAAATTATCTAAATTCACACGGCTGTTTCTCCCAATGGGTAACATCACTTTCTCTGATTTTGTAAAGAATGTGCTATATTATTAACCTTTCTTCTTCGAGTCACTGATCTTCTGAGGTTAATGATATAATCAGTTTCATTGTGCAGAAGAAAGAGAAAGGGCATAAGAAACACATTTTGGACTCTAGTTTATAAAAATTCCATAGATGTGATGCTAGAGATAATCCACAAATACATCAATACTGGATTGAAATAAATTTGAGAAAATGTAGCGTCACTCATTCAGCAAATGGAAGAAAAACACAGAGCAGAAAGCAAAGGGAAACAATTTTAACAGAACTACACAAAAAGTGCAGTGGGCTGATAAATAGGACTTTATTTGCTTTGCTTTTATTTTTTGTTATGTGTGGGGGTGAGAAGCAGTTTGATGGGTAAAGAGGTCCATTCACTCACTAATTCATCATATTAATGTATTGTTATGGAGAGCCTAAGTATGAATTAAGCATCTTTCTAGGCACAGGGGAGATAGCCGAGAACATAAAAAATAAAAACCCTCACCCATAAATCCTGGTGGGCAAAGAAAGACAATAAATAAATTTGTAAAGGAACAAATATTTTTTGATGATGATAAGTGATAATAGAGACAAATCAAGAATTATATAAGGACAGAGTATTAAAAAGGTTGGTGGTTTTCAATTGGAGAGTTAAGGAAAGCCTCGTGATGCAAAAGAGTAAATTAAAAATGGTTATAGAGAATAGGAATCTGAAATTTCTAGAGAAGCAGCATTATATACACCACAGAATATGAAAGGCACACGGTTAGTAGGAGATTTGAGAATTATTTCTACCAACTCACACAGTAAAGCTCTTCAATGATAGTTACAAATTTCTATCGAGGGCATACAAATATAGCCCCTTGCCACTCCGAGGTAAGGGAATCAAATTTATTGGGTACAATTGCCAGACTTAATAGATGGAGGGTTATAAATGTCTCTTCATTTAATCATTATAGATAGGTATTTGATTTCTCTACACCAGTTTCCACCCCTTTTTAACTCTTTGGCTTTCACAAAACATTTTATTTTAAAAAGATTTCTACTGACAAAAGTCTACATACTACCTTTCAATTGAAACCACACTGCTTCCTGTGATTTTTCTAAATTATAATCGAAACACATTACTATCAAGTCATAGCTAAGTAGCAAGCTTTACTATGGGAAAGAATAAATTCCGACTTTGGTTTAGCTGTACCTGTTGGGAATTTTCCCAGGGAGCAAACTACATGATTTAAGCAAAAAGGTGGTAATTCTTTCCATCTTTACTCAGAGTTAAAATTTTGTATATGTATAAGGAAGTAAGTTACAAGACCTGTTTGGTTACATAAATATTGTAAAAAAAAAAAAAATAGAATTTGGGTATGGGGCTGTGACTTTAATAATAGGCTGAAGGGGTCTAGAAAAGAGATAACACCCACCTCTTTCAGACAATGAGGAATATTACATAATTTAATAAAATTATTTGAGATAACACTCCACTCTAGTGATGTCCATTGGGTCTAATGCTTTATAATTTTATGTTAATTATTGCTAATTTTAATCAATCAAATGTATATGATATCTTAGGGTTAGCCAGAGATCAAATGCCAGTGAAACACCAACTAGACAATATATGCTCCTCCTGCCTTGGAACTTCTGTGTCAAAGATGAGACCAAAGCCTATTATGATAAAACCATATTAGGGTTAAAGTTTCTTATGCCACAGAGTTGAATGGGAATGGGTTACAATTTAAACCTCTGATGACCCAGGTTGCTCCATTTACACAAATGTTTTGAAACCCCAGGAAGGGGGATTTTACCCACAGTGAGAAAATAATAAAGCTTTCCAAAAAAGCTTGTGAACTCGTCACTAAGAAAAAAAAAAGTGTAGGCAAAGAGGAGAAAAAACAAACCTTGAAAAACAGTCAACATTTGCTTGTGAACAAAGAAAAAAATGCAACATAGTGCTTTCATGTGTGTTATGGCTTGAATTGTGTTTCCCTCTCACCCCCAAAAATATATGTTGTAGTCTTAGTCCCTAATACCTCAGGATGTGAAACTATTTAGAAACAGGGCATTTGCAAAGGTAATCAGTTTAAACCAAGGTCATTTGTGTGGGACCTAATCAATAGGACTGCTGTCCTTATGAAGAGGGGAAAGTTAACACAGAGAGAGAATACAATGTGAAGAGATCCAGAGAGACCATCACCTATAAGACAAGGAATGCTAGAAGCTAGCAGAAGCTAGGAAAGAGCCCTGTAACAGCTCCCAGAATCAATCAACCCATCTTGATTTTGGACATTTAGACTCTAAAACTGTGACAAACTTCTGTTTGTTCAAGTCACCAGAGTCTTGGCACTCTAATGCATTACATAGGCAAGAAGAACAAAATTATCTCAGCGGTAGGAGATTAGGCACGACCACTGGCTCTCTGGTTCATCCTTTATTTTTAGTTTTCCAAAGTGACTGGAAAAGAGCAATGAATGAATGAGCTAATGAGTTAATGCAAACAAGAATAAATTTTAAAATGAATAAACCGAATTAAGAGGGATTTAAACTAGAATTTTAAAAGAGAAGAGGAATGACAAGATAAAAAGATAGACACCAAGCATGGTATTGAATTAGTAAAAAAAATAAAAATAAAATAAAATAAATGAAAAATGTGCAGTAAGTATCAGAAGAGACAAATAAAGAATAAGACTGTAAAATACAGAGTCTAATATTCTAATTCTGGCCAGGTTTTCACTTATTAAGGGACTATGATAAAGTAAATAGACTATTCTGGGCTTAGTTCCTCACTGGTAAGATGGCTGGACTGTCTTAGTAGCTAAATTTAGTTCAACTGATGTTCAGTATTTCAGATATCTCCATAAAAATAAAGTGACATTTTAAGCAAAGGAGATAAAAGTTTAGATTGTCAATAATACCAGTGCATTAAGGGCGACTTTTAAATTGAATTATCATATTTATCAAAGCCTTCTAAAGAATTATATATATATTAGAGTATATATTAGATTTTAAGTAGAATATATCTGCTTTTATTGCTGATTATTAACATTTCTTATTATTAGCAATTGAAATATTCACAGATGCATCCCAACTATCAATATGTTATTTTCCTTTTGACTCATACCTACATATTTCTAATTAATTAGTAATTATTAATATATATTATTAAAAATATATACTTCTTTTTACTTTTATAAGCATCAGGACTAAGTCTTCCCTGAGATTATATTAAAACTAGACACCTGATGCACAAAATTTGTGCACTTGGGGGGGGGGTTCCCTCAGCTCAGCCTGCGCCCTCTCACAGTCCCGGGCCTAAGCTGGCAGTCGGACACCCTTAGCGCTGCCACAGAGGCAGGAGAGGCTCTCACTACCACTGCTGCGCTTGCCAGCCATGAGCCCAGCTTCTGGCTCAGTGGCACTCCCCCTATGGGAGCACACTGACCACCAGGGCACAGATCCTGTGTTGAGCATCTGCCCCCCCCTGGTGGTCAGTGCACATCATAGTGACCAGTCATTCCACCATTTGGTCGATTTGCATATTAGCCTTTTATTATATAGGATGGTTGCAGAAACAAAGTATGGGTGAACTATGAACATTAATATTACACTTTCATCAGCCTGACTAGAAATGTTCTCTTTTAAGCAGTAAATGTCCTAGTCATCATTTTGGACACTTGTATCAACACTCTTTTCAGTTCTCCTTCTCCTACTTGCTTAACTACAATCTGCAGAGTCTTCATCATCGGTTTGCACACCACTGTCTACTATATTTTTAAAACAGTGGGGATCCTCTGCCATATTTCCCGCTATCTCATCGTACTGTCCATGGACTTTAGCTCCAGAACGTCTCTCTTTGGGTTGCTTTTATGAAAACATTCTGGCTTGAGGAGGAAGAAATGAACTAGATACTTTCCAAACATCCTCCCACTAAAAATTCCAATATCCATGGGTCTAAATTTATGGCCATCCTTTGTCTTATCCATTTATGCCCTATGTTTAAACCATCACTGAATGTGAACATTAATTACATTCACTGAAATCAGTTTACGACGAATGCTTGGGAGATTTCAAGATGAGAACAAAACTTTCAGTCTCATTGTCATAAAATAATGAACTTCTCACCTTGCCTCACAAAATAGTAAATTCTCTTTTTGTGGGAATGTATTCATTTCTATTTTTTCCCCCCTCAGATCACTAATGAAATGATACTCACTGAAATTTTGTATTAGGTTCCCAAAGTACCAGGAGCTTTATGGCTTCCTAAAGTCTGCAAACACATGGTTAGCATCAACTCATCCATTGTCTTCTAACTGAAAAGAATCACTCTTACCGTGTAGCCCTCGGTATACTGAAAAGGAGCCCTGGAACTTTCGTCTGCTGTTGGACTCAGAGGCTTGGGGTCAGACATGGACCGCTGCATCATCTTGGCTGTCTTAGGACTCGGTGGGGGAACTTTAGCCATGTCTGGATGCAGTACTTTCTGTGGACTTATGTCATCAGGGAGGGGTTTTTCATAAGGTACAAAGGCTGATTCTAAGGCTTTGCCTGGTGAAAGTGGTGAGATGGGTGAATAAAGGACTTTTGGAGATTTGGGTGGGGAAGGAGCCAGCTGTTGTGTGGAATCTGGCCGAAGGTGAGATGAGTAACCAATCTCTAAAGGTGTTGGGCGTTTCTTGTCTTTGGGTGGAGATGTGGCACTCAAGTATTGAGGACTCTGTGTTTCTGAATCTGCTTCTGTTTGACATCCTAAACTGCCCCCTTTGTAAGTCTTTTCGGGTGCTGAAATGTGTTTAATTATTTCTACCTTGGCATCCGCGTGCGCCCGTATCGAAGGTGTCCTTATGGTTCCAACTGGTTCAGTTTGCACAGATATCTCTGCCACTGTCTGGACTCCTATGCTGGAGACTTTGGAAACGGGTTTGGTCTTCTCAGCCTCCGTAGTGCTGTCGCCATACTTTGCTACACGAGTTTTTCTCCTTGATCTAGCAGGCATGTCCCATTCATCCTGATCTTCATCATCCGTTTGGACACTTGTATCAACACTCCTTTTAGTTTTCCTTCTCCTGCTCGTGTAACCCCGATCTGCTGCATCTTCGTCATCGGTTTGCACACCACTGTCTACTATTTTTTTAAAACAGCGGGGGTCCTCTGCCATAGTTTCCCCCGCCTCGTCATACTGTCCACGGACTTTAGCTCCAGAGCTTCTCTTTTTGGGTTGTTTCTCGTCTTTTACAACAACGTCTGTTAAAGGTATTTCTGAAACTGTACTCAGGATGCCGGGTGGGGCAATGTACTGAGTAACGCCATCGGACTGAACTGTGTACCATCCTTGGCTTTGCGGTATTTCAATGGCCACAACGGCGGAGGCCGTGGTGGTTGCATCCTCAGCCGCCCAAAACTGACCACCTTCTGGGGCAGCATACTGCCCTTCCAGCATCGCCTGCTCTGACGTGGTTTGTGGAGAAGCGGTTCCAGAGGGATCATAGTTGTACTGATAGATCTGGCGGATCTTCTGCTCCTCCAGCTGCTGGTGAAGCTTTTGCTGCAGCTGTTGGATCTGCTCCAGCTGTAACTGCTGCTGAGCTAATGTCTCCTGCCTCATCATGAACTGGGCTTGACGCTCCTCTTCCTGCTGATAGAGAAGGTGGTGCTTCATAGACTGCAGCTCCTCTAGCTTTTTTTGAACCATCATCTTTTCCTGTTCTCGGTACCTTTGAATTTCCTGACGCTCCCACTCCAACTCCTCAGCAAAACGCTGCTGCTTGATTTTCTCCAGCTCCAGGAGCTCACGCTCTAAGTCCAGCTGCTGCTGCTGTTTATCTTCTTCAGGGACCATTAAAAGAGCACTTTCATCTCCCGCCACTTCGGAAAACACTTCAGATGCTGTGGTCAACGTGGGAACTGAGTCTACTGTCTCAGTGGTGAGAGTTTCCATAGTAATAGTTTGTAGACCGGCGTTGATATCAATACCAGTTACTACAATGTCTGTTTCAGATGCCCCTGTTGTTAGAAAATAGGATCTAGGCATCGGCTGGCTCTGGTGCAGGGTGGAGAATGAAGTCACTGCATCAGTTGTGTGCGCACCAGCCAGATCCCTCACGGTGGTGCTGAAAATGGAGCCAGGTTGTGTGGTGATAGCAAATGTGGAGGGAACTGGAGTTGCCTCTGAAGAATAGACAACATCATTAGTTGACCTCAAAACACTCCCCACACCATACTGGGATCCTGGAGGTGGCGTCATTCTGGCTGTGGAATATTGTGGGGTACTAATCCCAATTCCTGAAATGACTTGTCGTGTTTCTGGATATGCACCTGCAGTCTTGCTTGAATAATCCATTACCTCACCTGAAATACAGGGTAGAATTATAGTCCAGTTCCAAAAATGAATGATGCTTTCGGAATTTGAAAGAGCTCTCAAAATCTTGATGAACATAATGAATGGAACCACATGCAAATTCACTGGTAAACCTAATTAGATGCCGAAGAAAAGCAATGTTGAACATGCAGGCACATGCAGGTGACTTTGGGCAGAATAAAATTTTAAAAAATGAAGAAATAAAAGCGCACATGTACTCCAAAATATGCTGCCAAAATATTCAAAGAAAGAGAAAAAGTAACAAAATGGGGGAAAAGGGGCCACGTTTTCATCCTGAAATGAGATGAGGAACACCATAATGATATTTCAAGGAAAGGTCTGCAGCCACATCATACTGACCTGTAGAACTTCTGCCTGACGTTAGATCTACTGCTGCATCAGTTTCTCCTGAATAACCAAAAGCATTCTTACTTTTATAGAAAAAATGTCCAGCTTCTGCTAAATTAGTGTCAGACATGGAAGGCTTCATTCCCCCAACCCCTCTGTAACCGTATGGCCCCGATCGGTCATACTGATAGTGGTCATCCCTATAACCAAACCGATCCTCGGGAAGAGTCGTTGCAGGCTGCTGTGCTGTGCAGCTCCTCCCAAAAGGTAACTTGTAAACTACATCGCAACACACAGCTCTTCTCCCGGCAGTCAGATCAACAGGCTTCTCATCGTCCTCTATTATTTTCGTCACCACACCTGAAGTAGATTCATCCATCGTGACAAGAGTCCTGTGAGACTTTGTTGTACTGAGATCCACTGCCTCTCCATCAGTGAGGCCCTGGGATGTGGTGATATCAGTCCATCCATTTGTGACACCAACAGGAGGCACGGTAATCGGCTTTGCAGTCGCCAGTGTCACTGCCTGTGCCGAAGTGCTTAAAGATAAGTTCATTGGTGCTTCCTGCTTAACTGTAGGGAAGGACTGGCCACTTGGTATCCTGTGAGGGGGCTCAGTGTGCTTTGCTGTAGTAAGCTGAAGTGGTGTGGCTGTTGCATGTTCTACACTCACTAGGCTCTCTGGGCCTGCAGTATAGCTTGCACTGGCTGTGCACGTGACAGCAGTCACTGTCTCAGGGACCAGGGATATCGGAGTCACGACTGATGGAGTTGCACTGAGATTTATAATAGAGGGTTGGACAGCACTGATTTGTCTCCCATAAGCTTCTTTTGCCGAGGTCTGTCTTTTCACATCCATTGCAGAAGCAGAAAGATCCATACATTTCTCAGTCGCTTTAACTTCTACTTTTGGTGCTGTACGCAAATCCATGGCATCCCCGATAAGCTGCAACCTTCCATTTTCTTTACGCTGTCGCTTTTCTAAATGCATGGTATCTAAAGCAAGAGGCTCTGGGGGAATCGTTACGGAGACGCTGCCGAGACCGACACTAGGGACTGTACTTCTGGCTGCTGGAATCTCTGCCTTATAAACTTCAGTTGTAAGAAAAGGTGTAACGGAAATTGGGGCTGCTTGACAGGAAGATAGTGTTGCGACATGGATGGCAGGCAACGTATCCAAAGGCCCTGAGATGTGCAGGCTCTGTTGTGATGAATATGACATTTCTGGAGCTGTGATAGGAGGAACTACAGAAAATACAGGTTCGGTGGCGATCATATCTTTGAGAGGCGATCCCAGGGGCCAACTGGTAATTGCCTGACCAGAAAAATCTGTTGGAGTCCCAGGTTCAGATGGCAACGTGATCACCACATATGTTTCCATGAGGGATTTGGACAACCTTGGTGAGGACTTATTAGAATGAGGGGAAAGCGGGGAGGTAGGGGAAGGCAATTTATAATCTGCTGAAGTGACTAAATTTAATGTCATATTTGAAGGCAAACCTGTTGGTTTGGGGTGTGAATCTGTTGGTTTTGTTGTAGGTCCTGAGTGCTGAGTAATGGGGGGTTTAGGGGCAATGGGAGGTTTGCTTGGCTCAGGTCTGTGGGTAAATACAAGTCTAGATGGAATGGAAGATGGCTTAGGAGGAACTGGAGGAGGTGCAGTGGTACATATTTTTGTTATAGGTAATCCATTACTCCGTGGAACAACTGTGGTCTCTATAGTAGTCACAGTGTCAACTAGAGATGCAGCTGTCATAGTTAGAGTCGCTGGAGCTGTAACTGTTAATTTTTTCTTAGGATGAATGGCAGGTTTAGGTGAGGTTGGTGGAGGAAGTGGTGGAGGAGGAGGGGGAGGGGGAGGGGGAGGAGGGGGAGGGGGAGGGGGAGGTGGTGGAGGAGGTTGAGCTGATGTATCCAAAGAAGAGCTTCGTAGGAATGGGTGTGTTTTAGTTGGAAGAGAGGAAACTGAAGGACTGCCAGATGGTAACTGAGATGCAGGTTTTGCTTGACCAAAGTTCTCTCCAGATACAAAGCATGAAGCTGAAACTTGCTCCTTCATTGGAAAGGCTATTCCAGAAGGCAGTTGATCAAACATGGTTTCAGATAAGCTAGTTTTAGGTAGTTCAGCCTCAGAATCCTTCCTTTTATCTCTGTAAGCTTCCAAAACTTCTAGAATAATTCCATTCCCAGTTTCCTTCTTGGCTTTCTTCACTGAGTCCTTTTCAGATGTAGATAAGGCAGTGGAAATAGTGTCAGCAATTAGCCCCTTGGGTTTAGTTTCTTCAGGTTCTAAGATAGAAGGTGTCATATCAGATAAGGAAATTGAAAGATGATCAGTACTAGTTCTACCATCTGGTATGGTAGTTCGATCTAAAGACATACTTATTTCTTCTGGATAGTCTATGATGCTACCTTGAAAATATGTTGAAGAAGAAATATCTCCAGGATCTCCTAGTTTAGTCACTATATCTACTGGCTCTGAATAAACTGTAGTTATGCTATCCAGGGTAGTACTGGGTGAGGAGCTATCTGTGGTACAAACCGAAGAAACAGATGATGTGAGGGAAGGAGTGTCAGAGGGTGGGACAGACGTAGCACTTTCTGAAGCCTCAGAGTAGGTCAAAATCAGTGATTCATGGGCAATTATCTCTTGAATTTCTCTCGTGTAATCGGTTACATATTCATCTTCAATTTCCTCGGTTGAAAAATGTTGGGTTATTTTAACATCGGGAATTGAGAGTGTCGCACTGCTGGTCGAATCTGTAAGAGATGCTCCTGAAAGAATACTTGATGTCAAAGATTCATCGGGCAACCTGTCAAAGTCCATCGGGGCCTCTGCCATGTCTTCCCTGACGGGGGGTTGGGTTGGACTGGATTCAGGTGTTAACTGCATCTGCTGCCTCTTCATGAGTTCTTCATAGGCAGCATCAGCATCTAGTAACTTTTTTTCTTCACTGGTAGAAGCTACCATGCTATCCAGATCTACTATCTCATGGCTTTCTGGGATGATATAAGAACTTGAAACAACATCTTCTTGAGGCACAACAGCATGTAAACTTTCTAACTCATAAAACTCTTTCTGGAGGTCTGTAATTTTCTGCATAGGATCCTCATAAATCTGTTCTGGAAGTCTTATTTTTTGCTCTCGCCCTCTCTGCTGCATAAATCCATTTTCACCTTCTTGCCTTGTTAGCAGACCATCATCGACTGAACCATTGTATGTGTCCTCTACTAAAGACTCATAAATGTAATCCTCTATTAGCATCCCACCATACAAGGGCTCCTTTTCAAACATTTCTTCTCGCTCGTTTCCAGCCGGAAAAGCTTTGTATTTGTGAGTTTTATGCATCATTTCTTCATACATCTCCTCAGCGCTTTTTAATGCCTTTTGGCCACCTTCTTTCTGCATAACGGCATGCTCATCTGTTGGTGAGTATAAAGACACAGCTGTGGGCAATTTGTAAACTTTCTGCACTTCAATTATTTTTTCTGGGCTTATTTCGAAACCCTCTGGGTCCGACTCTATGCTAGGCGAGTATTCGGAACAAGAAGAGCGATGGAGCTCCTCCATTTCTGCAGCCTGACGCAATTCTTCTGTGGGAGATGCATCTTCAATGGGAGAGAGGTTACTGGGGGGTGTCTTTGGTCTTTCCCTCCTTCTCTGAGCCCGAAGCTCATCTTTGTCTTTCTTTGATTTTTTACTAGAACTTTTTCTTTGCTGCTGTTCTAATTCCCGCTGCTTTTCTTGCTCCTTCAGTAATTCTTCTTCCTCTCTCAATTCTTCTTCCTCTGAAGAATCTTCAATAGTGGGTAAAAGAGGGCCATGCGACCTGTGCCTCGCTTTGCGTTGCTGCTTGCTCTCCCCTTTTTTGTGACTTGGGCTACTGTCACTGTCCTCATCAAGCGATGACACCGACGTAGGGGATGTGCCAGGAGTGAAGCTGGAAGCATGAAGACTTGAAGATCCTTCCCCCCTCGACCTGTCTTCTGGAGAGTCTGTCAGGCTTTCCATTTCTAATTCTGGCTCTTCATCAAAATACAGAGCTGTTTTTTTCTGTGACGACTCTGCAGAATACTTGTCAGCTAGCGTGCTGTTGAGTTCAATTGTTTTAAACCGACGGAGCCCTCCTCCTCCAGCAACTACAAGTTCTTCACTCTCCTGACTTTTAGTCTCTCTGTATTTAATTTCAGGACTTTCGTCAAACGTCTCATCATCTTCATCATGCCACGAATGGCGCCTCCCTGCGTCTTCCTCAAAGCTTGTGCTGCTTTTTCGAGTCAGTCGCTTGTGTTTCCCTGCAGTGACTTTCCCTTTTCCTTTTGTTTCCTCCTTCTTCTGGCTCTCAATGATACCACTGATCTGTTTGAGCTGGTTCCGGATGAACTCATCGTCCTCAGACCCTGAAGCGTCCTCATCGGCACTCATTTCTCTGATTTGCTTTCGAATAAAGTCCTCCTCTTCACCGGATCCTTGGCTATCTTCCTGTTTATACTCATCGCTGCTCGATGAGCCCACACTAGTTCTCCGCTTTCTCGGTGGGACAGGTGAGTGTTCACTTTCACTGCTGTCTTCCAAGGAATCATAAGGCTGTCTTCGGGTAGCCGTGTCATCAGCAAACTCAGCCTTTTCTTTGTGGTCCTTTTTGGGAGGGGTGCCTTGTTGGCCATCTTTTGTAAAAGTGTCTTTTGCTTCTTGGCTCTCTTTGAGCTTCTCTTCTGAAACTGCAGTTTCCATTGTGTGAGTTAAACTCTGAGTTATCGACTCCTCCTTGGGCTTCTCGGGAGAAACCTCTTGGGGTGGTGTTTTCTTTTCTGATTTTTCTTCAATGAGTGTACTTGCCTGGGCTTCCAAAATGGAGAGGACTGTGCTTTCTAACTTGGCCAAGTCTGAGGGGCTGGAGGGGCTGCTTTCTTGTGAAAACGAGTCCTTTTTGAGTCCCCTGAGCAAATCCTTTTCATCACTTGGAATAAGACTCGGGATTTCACCAAGTGAACCTGATATGCCATCGGAAGAATATCCCGTGTCACTTAGACCTTGTGGGCTTTTTGGCTGTTGAGAACTTGAGGTGTCTGATTTGTCATCTTCCTTTTCCTAGCAGGGAGGAAAAGATATAGGAAAACCTTAACATGATTAAACTAATAAAATGGCCTCTCCATTACTCCCAAATAACTATTATGAACAGAGAAAAAAGTACATGAAACTTTTTCAACTGTAAGGCAATATTGTTTTAAATAAATCTTTGCATGGGGAAAAAAAAGAAAATAGTTAATACATATTGATCAAGGTTAGTTTTCATTTTAGTAAATGTCAATATGAAATATTTTTAGTCCATTAGTGCTCTATCCTTCTACATTTCAATACCATTTTTCTTCAAAAATATAATTTTCTTTCCTAGCATATTTACTTTGGGATATAATTCAACTTACTAAAGAAAAAATTTAATGATATGTTTCCACTGACATAACTAATACTTTTGGATTATGAGGACAGGCAAAGAAAGGAAGAATCAGAGGAGGGCCTTTACTTGGCTATAAGACTTATGGGATGTTGGGAAATTGACTTAACAAAAGTAAGTATATATCATTTAGTGCCATAATGATATTTGCCCCACCAACCACAAATATTTTTTTTTCCTGAGAGATATTCAAACAAGGCTGTGTTTTTTAAAAAATGTAAAACATTATATTTACTTGGTATCACAGTTAATATTACAATGCTATATAATATGTGACTGTTCAGAAATTGTAAACTTTGCAAATGTAATTGGTCTGGTTCATAGCTTCAGTAAAAGAGAAATAACTGTTATTTTTGTAGAGTTGTGAATCACATTTATCTTCAGTATCCCACCTCAAAGATATTTAACAAATATCTCTTATAATTGTCTTCTGACTTTGAAAATACTTACATTTTTACCTTTATGGTATTTCAAAGTCAGCTTCCTTCAACCAGCACAAAAACTAACTTTATGAATGGACACATGGGCTTTCCAGGGAGCTCGGACACAGTAGAAAAATCATAGGCTTAAACTACTTATCTCATTTGATAAGACAATAATAACAATTTAATTCAAGAATCAGAGGCCTAAAAAAAAAAGTTAAACATAAAGACTTTGTGCATAAGTCTAAATGAAAAACAAAAACAAAAACAAACAAACAAAAAAAAACACACAAAAAAACTATGATCAAAATGAAATGCAGCTGATCCAGTTAGTTTTCATGTTCAAAGGAGAACATAAAAAAATAAAATAAATTTAAAAAAACACCCACAGCCCTAGGAAAAGAAGAGGGAAGGTGAAGAGCTGCACGAGGACATGCTCTATTTGACGCTGGCCTATGGAGTCACCTTGGATTCCGCCAAGCCTATATCTTGAACTAACCATCCCAATATTTTTAGTGGGTGTATAGGCATGGGTCCCTCCAACCTGTCTACAGCCAAAATGAACAGATGTCAGGTCAGGTAACAAACAACAAACATCAAAAACATCTTCCTTCCTTCCTTCCTTCCTTCCTTCCTTCTTTCCTTTCCTCCTCTTCCTTCTTCAACTGCTTCTCCTCATCCTCCCTTTACCTATAAAGTTCTCAAATATAAAAGTTGTTGGCTTGATATTAATTTTACATTCTTTTTTTATCTCACTACCTGTCTTTTTTCTATATGGTCGGATATGTATCTTGAACACATCGGAGAGTAAAATGCTTTTGCTGAATTTACAACGTGACTCAATTAAAAAAGATAGTCTGACATATTTTTCAAACCATTAGTCCAAAAAACAATGCCAACTCTTTGGTTGACCAATAATTCATTTCTCTGGACCATTTCAGTTGTCTGTGCAGAAAAGGGTTACTTATCTGCAGTTATGAGACTACAGTAGGAGGGCTAATGAGCCTCCAGCCAACTCTGGTTCCTTTCTCTTCAGAGCTACGCATAAAAGAGGTAAGTAAGACAAAACAGTCTTCTAATAAAAGCTTTCTGGATGTTCACAGTGAAAGTATATTTCCATCTCCTTGCATTCCACAGAAAGACAGACCACATTTTTTTGAGTCCAATGTAGTTTCTATGTCATTCCTTGTCTTCTTTGCTAAGTTTCACTAAACCCCTATAAACACCATAAGCACATGAGTGGAGAATCTAAGCTCCTTTTGAATAAAAGGGCAAGAAAATGATTTTTCATAATTAAAGTTGATGGTATCACTTATATTCTTTATTTTGTGTCTGCATATATCATAAAACATAACAATGTCAGGAAGCTATACATATATAAGAAATGTTACTATTATTATATGCAACAATTCATTGAGTATAATAAAATATAAATTATAATTTCATACAATAGGTTCTGAAGATTTTAGTGACATTTTACAAAAATAAGATTATGACCAGACATATATAATGTGTCAAAAGAAATGAAGATATGTTAAACAAAAGACTAACGCACATAAATAACAAAATACCTACCCTACAATACCCTTTATGTAGCCTTTCACCTTGTGTTCATCCTTTCTTTCTTTCTTTCTTTTTTTTTTTAGTAAATATGTTCTACCTCTTTACCCCCTTCCTCCGTCTCCATGGTCTCTTCCCTCACAGGACTCATTCATAATTTACCTATAATGATGCTATGCTGATTCCTCCCCTCTAAGGACTCCTTCTCCATATTATAAGGTGGCAAAAGCTGGGAAGATTTTGCTCTATAGGTTTGTGGGTCTAGATACAATGTTTAGAATGATTAATAAGGAAATCAAGTTAGGTGACCAGAAGACTTTTGGCTAAACTGTTCAGAAGAAACACTTGGTCATGTACTTACTGTGCCTTAATATATTTAAAAAATCATAAAGTAGGTGGCTCCGTTGCGCAATGGATAGCGCATTGGACTTCTAAAAAATCATAAAGTCAATTTTTATCATACTAAGTAGCATAGGTGTAATGACTCCTGACACAGATGAGTAACCTGCTTCTTCATTTTGTTGTTAGCTTATTAATCATCAGAACATACACAAACCGGGCCCTTTGCCTCTTTGATTTTAAGGCAGCTACACATTTATCTTTAATTCTGCGCTAAAATTGAAATAAATGTTTTTCTTCATATACAAAGGTCAGCACAATGAGATACCCATATGTCCACCCATTTGTCCTTCTTGTGGCTATCCACTCTCCTTTGTGAGATATCTGGTGTGAGGACTAGTACAATTTGTATCCATGTGGCTGACCAGTCTATACAGATTTAACTTAGCAAAATCTTGCTTCACAATTTATGTTTCCTAACAAGGTAATAATTTGATCAAAAATGAAAGAGTAGATGGAACTGAGAAGGATGTAAAACACAGCATGTTAGTTGGGTCTGATTTTTCTCTAATTATTCTGACTTCAAATGGATGTCTGAAGTACTGTAACTTGAGAAACACAATCAAAGGATATATGTGAGGAAGGAATTATTGGGATAATTTTCTCCCAAATGTCTCTAGAACTAAAAGATTGAATTTTATCTTAGTTGCTTAAAAAATGCATGGATGTGTCTGGCCAGACGCTCGGTGGTCAAACGTCGGCCTATGAACCAGGGCATCACAGTTCAATTCCTGATTGGGGCACATGCCTGGGTTGCAGGCTGGATCCCCAGAGTGGGGCATGCAGGAGTCAGCTGATCAATGATCCCCACTCATCATTGATGTTTCTCTCTCTCCCTCTCCCTTCCTTTCTGAAATCAATAAAAATATATTTTTTAAAATGCGTGGCTGCAAACTTACTTTTGAGAAAAATATTAAGCCACTTACATTTTAAGGTTTAATGAAGTGAATATATTCAAAGGGTTCTAAGTTTTATACATATATAACACATATACATATGTGTATAAATATCACTGAATTTCCTTACATTTATTATTTCTTCATTTGAATAATCAAGTTGAAATTAATTATCCATTTCATTTTTTACAAAATACATCTGGAATGACCTGAAGTTATTACATAAGAATAAAAGTCCAGGTATCTACCGTGTGTGTGAGATTTTGTTTGTCATCTTAGAGTCAGTGAGTGGGACAGCCATACTTTAAGCTTACTTTTTTGTTAATGGAAATGTTATTTTTAAGCTTACCCGAGGAACATATTTTCCCTGTATTTTTCTAAGTACATTTTCCATTAGACTGTATTATACTGACTTTTATTTTGAATTATGTATTGTACTTTCTCCATGTATAGTAATATGGCTACTTCAGCCTTCCTAGTCTGTGTATATGAAATGATAACTTAAAATTTTCAGAGATTAAAATTAATTAAAATTAATATTTTTTACTTGCCAATATGAAGCAGAGAATAGATAATCATTTTTCCTTCCAATATTCTATTGCTAAAAGGCAGTAAATTGAGACCCATTTGACACTATTTCCATGGTGTCGTATCTTGAGAATATCTCTAGTACTGAAGAATATTCCAAGACACATCTGCACTGCCACACTTAGTTCTGCCCTTTGCCCAAAGGAAACTTTTAGCCTTTCATGTTGAAAGTAAATGGAAGTTACCTGAGCATTACTGGTGTTAAGAAAGGAATTTCTGGTTAAATATAATATTGTGCATAGAAAGGATGCAATATTAAGTTTTTGGTTAATTTCCCCGAAGTCATTTATTTTATTGGAACAAAGTAAAATAACAAAAGAAAATCTTTAACTTAATCATTTATAGGATGTTTTGGCCAAAATGGATTGCTAGTCTGAGTGTTTAGTCCATAAAAGATTAAGTCTGCAAAATTCACTGAGCCTAGAGTGAAAAATCATACATGGGAATGCTTTTCAATACAGAAAACCTTTTCATTTTTCATCTTCTTTGATTATGCTGCCATTATATACAATGCCTATATAGAACTTGGGTCACTGTAACCAGAAATTAAAGTTTATGCTAAAGAATGTTCAAATTTTGGGTTTTATCAAGAAAGCAACAGTGTTTCAACGTATCAAATGCAGATAAGCAGTATTCTGGTTAAGCATGTAAATAAAAAGAGAGAATGTAGTAACATGTAATTCTGTAGTAACATGTAATTTTAAAATATTAAGCTAAAAAAGTAAAGAAGAATGCACCATTCTCAACAATAAAGATAAGTTTTTTAAAAAATGTTCCTTTCAAATTATTTATTACATTTCAGAATAAATTTTAATTCCACTTGACAAAACATTTTGAAAGACAGGAATGAATGGAAAGAAAATGATGAGGCAACAAAGAAATACAAATGATATACTATAACAAAATGAATTACACAAGTGACAAATTAATAAATAAATATATTAACAAAGAAAAAAAAATTACACAAAGTGTTTGGGATTATAGTGGGAACTGCCACGAGATACAAATAATTATAATAATGAAAAGGAGGTATGTTAAAAGTATCAAAAAAAAAAAAGCCTTGTGTTTCTTATCCTTTGCAACAGCATGGATGGACCTGGAGAATATTATGCAGATTGAAATAAGTCAACCAGAGAAAGGCAAGTATCAAATGATCTCACTTACACCTGAAATCTAATGACCATAATAAACTGACGAACAAAACAGGCCCAGAGGCATGGATGCATATAACAGACTGACATATCTAAGGGGCGTTGGGGGGGGGGCAGGAAGAGATTAACCAAAGACTTTATATACACACTAGAGGCCCGGTGTACAAATTCGTACGTGGATGGGGTCCCTCAACCTGACTGGCAATCAGAGCTGATTGGGGCTGTCTTGCCCAGTCCCGATTGGGGCCAGCCAACCTGGAGGAGGGACCATGGGAGGTTGGCCAGCCATGAGAGGTTGGCTGTGGGAGCACAATGATCACCAAGGGTCAGCTCTTGCATTGAGCCTCTGCCCCCTGGTGGTCAGTGTGTGCCATAGTTACCGGCCGGTCACCTGTTTGTCCGGCTGTAAGGGTCACTCAGGCTTTTCTATGTGTATGTATGCAGAAATAGTGATGAAGGCCTGGATGGGGTAGGGACTTGGAACAGAGGGGCTAAGGGATGGGGGAATTGGGGACATCTGTAATACTATCAACAATTTATAAAAAAGAGCCGAGACCGGTTTGGCTCAATGGATAGAGCGTCGGCTTGAGGACTGCAGGGTCCCGGGTTCGATTCCAGTCAAGGGCATGTACCTTGGTTGCGGGCATATCCCCAGTAGGGGGTGTGCAAGAGGCAGCTGATCGATGACTCTCTCTCATCGATGTTTCTAACTCTCTATCTCTCTCCCTTCCTCTCTGTACAAAATCAATAAAATATATTTAAAAAAACAAAAACAATTTATAAAAAAGAAGAAAGCATTGTGTATTGTGTTTGAGAACCTCAGCCTTTATAATCAGAACTGGACTAGAACCTTAGCTTTGCTGTTTCCTAGAGCTTACTCCTCTTTAAAACAGCTATGATATTTACTTATCATTAGTTATGTGGGTTAAAATGATAGAGAATGGACTTAACAGAGTACACAGAATAGAGTAACAGGTAAATTAGGAGTATTATTTTGGTTTCCAGCAAAAGCTAACTTAAATCTGATCAATATGGGGAGATCGGCAGCAAAAGTGAGTGCCACCAGGGAGAGGAGCGGCCAGGTGTGACTTTTCTGACAGGACCAATGCACTATCAGGGCACAGGGAAGGACTAAGTACAGGTTCAGGAGGGAGAGCACTCAAGTTACATTCAGGAATTGCACAAAAGCCTATTGACTGGTTTTCTGTTTTTTCCTTTGTGGGCAATATTAGGTTATTTGAAGTTATTTTGGAGCCATACTTCTAAGTTAAACTTATTTTTATATTTTGACATTTAGTTTTTATGGCTATCATAACAAAAAAAATTAAAAAAGATAACCCACAAGCATATACCAGAATTAGAAGAAGTGGATCAAAGATTGTACTTGCCAAATCTTGCTGTTTTCTAAGTTTGAAATTGAAAACAAAATTTTTCTTAAATTGTAGAAACTCCACAAATAAATGTTAATCTTCCTTGATACCAATTATCAGAAAATGAGGTGTTTTAAAATATTTTATTAACAAATGTCTTTGTTGACTCTTATTTAACCAAGTGGATAAGTGAATAGAAACTTAAAAACACACATTATTTCATATTAAAGGAGGATACTGATTTTATGTTCATAGTGGAGAGAAAAGGGAATAACTTAAAGTGGTAAGAAACATTTTTTTATCACTCTATAGGATGTGGATAAATTATCTAATAGACACAAAAGCTAGAAAAATAAATTTTATGTCTATGCTTTAAGTTAGATTAAGCTGTTAAAAAACACACCAAGTTCTTCATTTTAGCAATCAACTGTTACACTTTTCTGAAGAAAAAAATCAAAAGATTTTCCTTATATAATTACCATGAAGCACTCTATGTACTTACGTAAAAATCAGTAGACTATCTACATAAGACTGTGCAAAGTTAAGAAAACATAACTTACTGTTTTTTCTTTCCCGGGTTCCACCTGATCAGGCTTCGCTGCATGGACTTCCTGTGGCTGGTCTTTGATTCCTTGAGCTGCCCCGTCGCCCCCCTCAGGTAATGTCTGAAGTGGCCCAGGAGGTAAACCCTCCATCTGCATGGGGGGTGGCTGCTTTCCTGGCACTGCCTGAGCAGCCACTCTGTCTTCAGGCTTTTCTTCAGCAACTTGTTCTTGAGTTTTAAGCAAAGTCTGTTTCTTTTCCTCCTCGAGAGCTGATGTTTTTGCTCCCGGAGGAAACTTTTTGTCTTCAGGAGGTGGCTTTTTGTCCTCAATGGTTGGTTTTTCTTCTGGAGGTGGCTTTTTGTCCTCAATGGTTGGTTTTTCTTCTGGAGGTGGCTTTTTGTCCTCAATGGTTGGTTTTTCTTCTGGAGGTGGCTTTTTGTCCTCAATGGTTGGTTTTTCTTCTTCAGGAGGTTTTTTCCCTTCAGTGGCTGGTTTTCTCTCTTCAGGAGGTGGCTTTTTGTCTCCAGTGGCTGGCTTTTTGTCCTCAGTGGCTGGTTTTCTCTCTTCAGGAGGTGGCTTTTTGTCTCCAGTGGCCGCCTTTTTCTCTTCAGGAGGAGGCTGTTTTTCTTCATGGACTGTTTTTTTTTCTTGAGGGGCTAAAGCTTGGTCTTTTTCTTGTTTATGTTCTTCTTGTTTTTTATCTGTGGTTACCTTGGGAGACATTTTTTCAAATAATGGTGTTTCTTTTACTTTTTCTGGTATGATTTTGTCACTTTCTGTTTTTGCTTCTTGTTCCTTCTTTTTAACTTTCGCTTGACCAGGCATGGCCATTTTCTGAGGTGACTGCTCTGTAGGAAAAGGCACAGGAGGGGCTTTTGGCCCTGACAGTGCAGGAGGCATTTTGCCCATGTCTCCAAGCTGCCCGGACATCGCTCTCTGGGTTTGGCAATTTAAACAAAGCCATTCTTGAATCTGTAAATAAAATAGCATTGAGCAGGTTAATTACATGACAATGTATTTGTTTCATTGTATTTACCTGAGCACAGTAACTTCCATCTTAGGTAAAAACTACTGTTTAAAATTTTAACCCTGCTATTCTGGCTTCTGTAAATGTTTGTTTCCTTAAATAATAAGGAAAAATATGACTACTCCCATTCCAGAGAGGCCATAAACTACACCCTAGACAGAGTTGTCAGTGCTGGTGCCAGGCCAGGCCTTGAGATATGGTCTCACAGCCCTGTCCCAGCACACAGGACTTTTTCTCAGAAGGTCTGGAGTTCTTGTTCCAAATTTGGAAGACAAAGAGCTGAAAAACATATAAATAAGAAAGACTTCCACCATATTGAGCCCCAGATTTTGAGAAGCAAGATTTTCTCTGAGCCTGCTAGCACTAGCAAAATGAAAAGGATTCAAATAAATTCAGCTTTTTGATTAAGTCGTCTTCTGGTTTACAATGTAACACAACAAGGTTAAATCTGGCAATTTCTAGTTTTTGTATATGGAGAATTGGATCACTGTTTTCTAAATCAGTGAAACAGTGATTTTTAAAGAAGACTAGGGAAAAAAACTATTTGAAATAACAAAAATATGAGGGATCTTAAAGATGACTAATTTTATAAAAAAGAAAATAAATCTTTAACATTAACATGGACCCATAAAAATACCATCTCTCTCTTTTTTCTTTTTCTTTTTGTGAAAAAAATCTGTATTTGTTCCAAATGGAATTTTAAATTTCATAGTAAGTTTCATTTAATCGCCAATTCATCAAGATTTTTAAATTTATTTTTATTTATTTATTTATTTATCTATTTATTTATTTATTTTAGCCTATAGTCACATATCTCTGAACTTGGGTCAAAGATAGCTCTATGTACTGCTGTAAAGCTTTACAAAGTATGTGGAGGTTCTTCAAGATTCGTTTAGGCATAATTCTCTATCTGCTGTAGAATTAAAATAAAATTTAGTTTTTAATAACATTCATACTTCTCATGCAATTGAACAAGACACATTCACTGGCTCCAATTGTTTGGTATCTTTACCCTCACAATTTTTTTAAAAAATATATTTTATTGATTTTGTACAGAGAGGAAGGGAGAGAGATAGAGAGTTAGAAACATCGATGAGAGAGAGTCATCGATCAGCTGCCTCTTGCACACCCCATACTGGGGATATGCCCGCAACCAAGGTACATGCCCTTGACTGGAATCGAACCCGGGACCTTTCAGTCCCCAAGCCAACGCTCTATCCATTGAGCCAAACCGGTTTCGGCTACCCTCACAATTTTGAATTGCTGAGTAAAATAGTTCTTTATATCTCTGCTCCTCAGTATAATTCATGGGCTACCTTTGCCAAACTATGGTGAGGACATATAAATTCATGGGAACTATACCAAAACTATTTTAGCAAGATCCTGATGTAGAAAGTAGACCTCCCCTTTTAATAAATAATTGGTTAATTCTTTTGCAAACTAAGGACTGAAAACTCTCTCAAAATATGTACAAATAATAATAATAAGGGGGGCAGATTATATTCCACTAATAATATTATAGAGTTTTTCCCTTACTGATGTACACTGTGCTTTTTCTGACATTATACTTGCTATGGTATAAAAAGTAAAAGCTATACGTACAGCTTCTAATTGTTACCATGTATTGAGTTCTTATTCAGTAAAGTACACAGTTGGAGGCTCATACAAAATAGTATTGCATTCATATGTTTCATTGTCTTCTGCAAAGTTCAATTTCAAAATGATTTTCATACTACTACATCACTCTTTCCAGTTGCATAACTTAAATTATTTAGAGGCAAAAATCACTTACTGTTCTAAGATATTATCAGATATATTAAGTTTCATTTCTTACCACAGCTTCTAATTTCTTTAGAGACATAAAAAAAATTGCTTTATAATGGCTCTTTTGAAATCTGTAAGCCATTATAATTCTTATTTGCTGATCTAAAAGAGTAAAGACAAAAGTCAAATATTTAACTTCAGGAAAATGCTGTCTTCAAAACATTAGTATGTATTACAAATTAATTTGCTCTTTATGTGTATGATCATCCAGTACCAATTCCCTTCTTAATTTCCTCCTTAAGCAGCTCTGAAGTGAATTGTGGCTTTTTAATGTAAGACTTTATATAAAAGTCTTAGGAAAAAAACCTGATTTGAACCTTTATGTCAAATACTAAAAGCTCCAGCCCATGTGCAGAATTGTCCCTGGAGGAGATACCTCCATATTATCTACAGAAAATCAATCTTAATCTCTGCTGTGGTTTTAAAAACTTGGTTGAGCCACATTTAGGAAATCTGACATTTTAAAAACAAAAGACACAAAGAGCTGTATCACTGTGCTGTTTTGTCAAATGGATTCTAAAATCCAAATTCAAGTGTGTGTTAACCATTTCCGTCCAGAGCACATCTTAATGCAAACAAGGGAATTTTAGTATACCAAGAATACAGGTTTAATTACATTGGCAATTCTTTCTTTTTTAAATTCTTTATTATTTAAAGTATTACACATGCCACCTTTTTCTCCCATTGACCTCTCCTGGCCACCCTCACCCCTTGCCCCCGACACAAGCCCTCACCCCTCTCATCTGTGTTCATTGGAAATTCTTGTCAATTATAAAGCATGATTATTTTATCTGAGTTTTGGAGAAGTATTATTCTTAAAAAAGTCTCCTCTTTTGCTTCCTTTAACATATAATACCACAGGGGTACCCAGCACTTGTTAAAAGGTGTGTTGAAGAAATTAACACAGTGACTATTTCAAGATAGTATATTCAGTATTTTCACACATTTGAAGTTCAGATAGGATAAAAGATATATTTTAATGAACCCTACCTAATAAAAGAGTAATATGCAAATTAACCATCACTCTGCTACATCACAAACCACACCCACAAGCCACACCCTCTAGCCAATCAGAGCGAGTATGCAAATAAACCCAACCAAAATGGCTACCAGAAAAGAGGCTTGGGTTTCCCTGGCAACAGAGAAAGCCAAGCTTTCCACACACTCTGGTGGGCCCCGCAGGCATCTACTAAAGGATACAAAGTTTCAAATATAAAAGGTAAACAGAAATGACTGCAGCCACCAATTGAGCAGAAGGGTTGGTTCCACTCCAGGCCACAAAGTTTCAATTGTAGAAGGTTAATAAATTCCAGATACCAGGGCCTCTGCTTGGGTCGGCAGGAGGCGTGGCTGGCCTGCAAACCACCACAGGCTCTTCGCCCAGGTGACCCCATACCCCAAGGGAACCCCCACCCTGATCCAGGACACCCTTCAGGGCAAATCAGCTGGCCCCCACCCATGCACCAGGCCTCTATCCTATCTAATAAAAGAGTAATATGCAGACTGACCACCACTCCAACACAAAAGTCAAAGATCCTGCCCCCATGTGGACACAAGATGGCCACCACAAGATGGTCAGCAGGGGAGGGCAGTTGGGAGGCACCAGGCCTGCAAGGGAGGACAGTTGGAGGAGATCTACCCTGGAGGGGAGGGCAGCAGTTAGGAGTGACCAGGCCAACAGAGGAGGGAAGTTGGGGGCAAACAGGCTGGCAGGGGAGTAGTTAGACATCAATCAGGCTGGCATGGGAGTGGTTAGTGGGTGATCAGGCTGACAGGCTGAAGCGGTTAGAGGCAATCAAGAAGGCAGGCAGGCAAGCAGTTGGGAGCCAGCAGTCCTGGATTGTGAGAGGGATCCCAGATTGGAGAGGGTACAAGCTGGGCTGAGGGACACTCCCAACCCTGTGCACAAATTTTGTGTACCGGGCCTCTAGTCTATTATAAAACACTTCATTCTCCTGATTTCAAATAATGCTTAATAAACATATAAGCAGTGATAACCCACACACTATTAAGGTCTCAAGGCAAAGAGAGGGCAATATGCCAATCTAAAAGAAACATAATTTATCCTTACAGTTTCATTGGCGACTTCAAATTCATACTATGCTTGATATCTCGCACATATTCATTTAAGCCTAATATTTTTAATCATTGCTACTTTGTGATATTTTTAACATGATGTTGCTTTCTTGGCTTTTCTTGGTTGAATGACTGACTTGCATTTTGAGTAAGACTACAAGGCAAAGCCTAATTTTATTTTTTTACTATCAACAAAATTCATCATTGGAAATTGATGTTACTATTCCTAGCCTGTTACAAATAATTATGACAACTATGTATCTACTAGAGACCTGGGTACACAAATGTGTGTACCAGTGGGGTCCCTCAGCCTGGCCTGCAAAGTCAGGCCGGAACAGGCTCTCTGAAGTCCTTTGAGGGGTCCCGGATTGCGAGAGGACACAGGCCAGCCCAAGGAACCCCACTAGTGCATGACTGGGGCTGGGGAAGGACACAGGAGTTGGCCAGCCAGGGAGGGACCACCGGATGGCTCCAGGGCATATCTATCCCATTTCACTCAGTCCCAGTTGGCTGGACCACAGTAGCGTCTGCCCCCTGGTGGTCAGTGCACATCATAGCAACTTGTAGACTGTCAACTGTCTGCCTCCTGGCAGTCAGTGCACATCATAGCAACTGGCCAACCAGTAGACTGCCCCCTGGTGGTCAGTGCACATCATAGTGAGAGGTTGAGCATTACCATATCATTAGCATATTATGCTTTGATTGGTTGAACAGTCAATTGGCATTTGGAAGGTGTATTTGTAAGACTTATTCCATCAAGGAATGCACATCAAAGTAGGAAGACTAAGACATGAATAAAAGTAATTATACTAATAATTTGCATTTAAAAAAAAGGAAAATAAAAAAAATGCATTAGGTTTAATAGGATTGTCTGATGAATCCATTTAGAACATAGATTTAATCATCATGAGTCTCAAAAGAGTATGCCGAAACTGGTTTGGCTCAGTGAACAGAGCATCGGCCTGCAGACTGAAGGGTTCCGAGTTCAATTCCGGTCAAGGCCACGTACCTTGGTTGCGAGCACATCCCCAGTAGGGGGTATGCA